TCCCCTCTCAAGTAGGATTGGTGGGGAGCGGTTAGCCTGGGTGATGCTGCGGACTAAGACCCAGTAGGCTAGCCCAAACCAGGTCCCAGCACCTGGTGGTGCACCCTAGCAGTGAAGCCTTCAGTAGGCTGACTTGGAGGGGTGGGCCCAGCAGAGGCTGCCCAGGTCTGTGTCTACCTAGTACACTGCAGTGGGTGAGAACACCTAGCTGGCAGATTCAAACAAACTGTAACCCACAAAGATAGAAACTGGGCCTCCTGTATACGTTTATATGGAAGGAACAAAACGTATGGGAAGAGGGCGCAACAAGAAAGTGTCCTCGGCCCCCAATCCTGAGAACACTGATCTAGGAAAGGTAAATGCAAAGGTAGAATGAGGACAGAAAACATGCAATATCAGACACAGCAACAATAGACATAAAGCAATATTTTCTGGACCTCATAGATGAGTTCAAAAGTGAAGTATTTAACCAAGTAAAGCAAGATATAAATAGAATAATTTAAAAAAAAATGCTAAATACTTCCCAAGAAAAAACAGATGGTAGAATGGAAGAATAAAAAAGGGGGAGAATTGTTTGATGGAGAAAATAGAGAAAATATAGAATACATGAAGCAGGTTCAAAGAGATTACCAGGAAACTAAAAACTGTATTGAAAGCTGGCATAAGAGCTTGAAAGAAACTAAGGATAGATTATCTGAACTGAAGGACAGGTTTGTAATGTAGGAACAGGAAAGGAAAAACTTCTGAAAAATAACAAGGAAACAAGCAGTAACAATACAAAGGCTAGAAGATGACAAGAGGATGTATAACTTAAGAATAAAGAATGTGAGTGAAGAAGCAGGGGTACAAACAAAGGAACTACAAAGACTATTCACAGAAATAATCCAGGAGAACTTCCCTAATTTAGCAAAAGATAAAGATAGATGTATGAGGCATACAGGACCCAGCCACCTACAACCCAAACAGAACTACACCCAGGCATATAATAATCAAGATTCCAGAAATCCAATATAAGAACAGAATATTAAAAGCTGTCAGAGACAAGAAACAGATCACTTACAAGGGAACACCCATTAGAATTTCAGCAGACTTCTCGGCACAAACCATCAAATCACAAAGAACGTGGGGAGAAATAATTCAAGCTTTGAAAGATAATAACCTCCAGCCAAGACTGATATATCCTGCACAACTGTCCCTAGAAATTAATGGAGAAACAAGGTGCTTCTAGGATAAAGAGGAACTAGGGGAACTTGCAACCAGCAATTCAACTCTACAGAGAATACTGCAGGACATTCTAAAAAAGAAAAATACCAAGATTCCATAAACAGTGGCAGAGAGGCTACAATGAATGGAGCAGAAAGCAAAATGAAGAAGACAAACTGACAACTAATGACAGAAAAAGAGCTCAACAGAAATGAGGCAGAGAAGGTTGGATGGTAGGAACAGCTATTTTGGAGAAAACAAGACATCATAATAGCTAGTGCTGATTTAATATAATCTTGCTTTGAAGTCCCATCAAACTTTTGTTCTTCTGTCTCAATCGGTCTTAACATGTTGTATCTTATTGGATTTTATTATATGTGATAATACAAACAAAAACTTTTATAGACAAGGAGATTATACAGAAACCATTGTTCATTTTCTGTTAGTTGGTTCTAAATACCCTGTAATACTGTCATTCTCTTGAATGGCTTTACTATGTCTTGATATGTTTGATGCTACAGTATTCGAAGTTATACTCAAAGATTTCAAGGAAAGAGACACTATGGTAACTACTTTTATGTCGGGATATCTTATGGTGAAAAACTATTTTGCTTAAATGGTTATGTTTTGACCTGTGCTGTTTTGTCGTTATGTCCTCTTTTATCTCAATCTGCTTTTTTAATTATTTACTTTTTTATTTTTATCTTTTTAATTAAGGGGAAAAATAAATACAAAATAGCAGGATATATAATAGTAACCAAAAAAAAAACAAAACAACAACAAAAAAAACCTACAAATGGCCCTTACCAAAGGGTTTAGAAAATGACCCATTCCCAGGCACTAATCATACCTACAGTGCACACTTGGTGTAACTACTCTGGGTGATTCCTTTTTTTTAAAAAAGAGAGTAAAACTAAACAACAAAACAGAATAAAGTAGATCAGAAGAAAACAATATAAGTGACACAGATTTCAAAGCAATAATAGGATACCTACCATAGTTACCATAATGTCTTTTGTTTTCTTCCAAATAGTTATCCATATCTTCACACACAATTAATTCATACAAAACAAAATGGTATTAAACTGATCAGAACAGGGTGATGAAAGCATTACCGGCCTTCAAAACCAGACAACAGGAAAATCAACAATGGCTGCCGTAATGTCTCTTGTTCTCATTCAAATTAGCTGTCCATCCCTTTATGTATGTTGAAATTGAACAATACAAAACAGACTAATACCACCCTGAACAAAGAATAACAGCATTGCTGGATTTCACAGCATGACGATACGGAATCCACAATGGATACCATAATGTCTCTTTTTCTTCAAAGTAGCTGTTCATTTCATCACGTATAATATAATCGATTCTCATTAACTGTGTAGGGCAAGTTCTACACATGTACAAGCCTCTACATGTATACCTATCTTTTCTGTATTAGAGTAAAACACAAAACAAAACAAATGACTAAAAAAACACAAAACAAAAAGGACAAATAAATAACAATAGCAAAGAGCCCAAAACAATGATGATATAGGCCTTCAAAACAAGTTGGTAGGAGCATAACTAGGGTTGTTATTTTACATAACGTTCTTTAAGGGTTCCGCAGATCACCAGACACTAATATGCAAATTGTTCCAATCCTATGAATGTTAGCTGTTTTGTTCCAAGAACTTGTGGAATTTGTAGCACAATCATCTTAGCTAGCCTAAGTGTGATTATACATTTTTTTTTCTTTTTCTGGGGTGATTCTTTAATGTGGGAAGTTTTATAGCTTCCTGGTAATTCATCATGAAATCAAGATTAAGAATCCCCACCGTAATGGAAGACTTCATGACCCAAAAAGACCTGAACCCTGTGAGGAGAATCTTTCTAAGTCTCAGATGGAGGCAGCACCTTTGCTTGGAGAAATCCTTGACATGACACGTCCTTGGATTCAGTGTTCTCTGTATTCCCTTCTATCGCCACCAAATCCGGAAGTGGTCACCTCTGTCAACACAAATAGAAATCAGCATTTTAAAGCTACGTCAGTTGTTCTGCTTATTTGTACCTGCCTACAGGAGCCCCGACACTTTAACATTAGTAATATATTAGGCTCCACCTTAAGCCAAACTCCAACACAGGTGAAATGAAATGGAATTACCAAATTTTGGCCATTAATGCTTAATTATGCATTTCATTAAGTTCTACTTTAAGTGCTTGATTAGTAACAATTAGTCTTCTGTCTGCCCTAATTTATATGCACCTGTCTCCAATTACAGTGGCACTATGTCAGTCTCAAAAAAATACACCTCAAACTCTTTACAATAACTTGGATATTTCTGCCTACCCAAGGATATTTGTCTTGCCATTTAAGAGATAGTTCTTTATTTTATTTCAAATGCATTTTCTGTCACTGATTATCCAGCTTTGTGAAAGGCCACTCTTTAAAATGATGCGTAATGCATTAAAATGATGATGTCACTTCAAATTCTAGATCTAAAAAACACCAATATTCATCCAGAATTTCTTTCTAAAAATCACTGTTGACTTAAAAGATATGAACACAGAAAACCCTTCTAGTAGCTGTTTTTTGCAGATTGCTGACTTCTTTGCTTTATTCCTAGATTTAGAGAAGTACTGGGGGGTTTCCACACCCAGAGAAACTCGCTGTTGGAGTAGGAGAAATAATGCAGTGGTGGCACTTTCCCGAGCAGGTGTGAGGACAGGGTGAAATCCCGTCTGGGACACAGAGGTCTAAACCAATGGCACTATTTTTCAAAGGCACACCTCTCAGATTGGTTTCCCCAAACTTCTGCCTTTCTTGTTTTGCTTGTGGGAGGCCCTCTTGCTAGTCTCATATTTTCTGATGATCTATTGCTAAATTCTCCACTTATGCCACATCATGCTCTTGATTTTACCCTTCCAAGACATTCCATTCTACTTCAGTGTCTCTGCTGTTTATTTTCTTCCCTCTTTTGGAATGGACTTCTCTTGCCTTTGATGGATCCCATGCTTGTTCAAAGGCCAGTTCAAACCCTACCATTTCCAGGAGTTGCAACTCAGGAGAGCAGTCAGTCTTGATTTCCACGTCAGAGGACGTGGGCTTAGATCCTTTCTTTTGTGTTAGGTGACTGTGAGCTGGTTAGGTAGTCTTAATTCATCTGTGATGTGGGGGCAGGAGGCACATTAGCATAAAAGCATTCTGTGTTATTTTTAGGTGACGAGACTCTGTTACAGGTAGTAGAGGTCAGGAGACACTGTTTAGTGGGAGTGCAATTAAATTTAATAAAATGCAGGACTTGGTAAAGTGTTCCCTGTTGGGGACAGGGGACCAAGTATAATGCAAGTTGGTCATTACCACCCACCGAGGTTAGGCATTGCCACCTGTCCCATGGGAGGCCCATCTTGAGTGACTGCACAGTCTTTTCTCTTACTTATTTGAGGTAAACACTGGGAGGGAAGAGGTCCAGACCGGGATTGGGTGCACTGTTGAGCATGGATTACTTGCCGGGGTAATTAAGGTCTAAGTGCTGCAATTACAGAGATTAAAGGCTGCCTGCACCCCCAGCTTAGCATCAGCCCCTTCAGGAGCTGCTGAAGACCATGCTGGTACCGCCTTCTCAGAGGCTTCCAGCAGGACAGGACTGCTGCTTTAAATGCCAACAGCTGAGACAAGGGTGCTCCTGCGGGGAGCCCTGTCAAAGCGCCTGTGACCTTGTGGGTATAAAATCTCCATCTTTATCACTGTTGCTGTTTGGCAATTGTTAATGGTTCTTCCTAGGAATGAAGAAGATTCTTTTTCCTTTTCCTTGTAGTTGGCTGAGCAAAATATTGATTACACTCGCAGTTCCTTAAGGAGATCCTGGCTTTTATTACAAGTGTGCAAATAACAAGTTCACGGGCTACCACCGCCCACTTGAGGCTGCACCCAAGACACCTCCAAGGCTTGGCTTTGCATGTGTTTTATCACCTGCCCCGGACACCCGGCCTCTCTGGCTCCCATTAGGAATCGCAGAAGGGTAGGTTGTCCAGAGGAACAGAAGCATAGAATATACGGTGTATAGAATTTCAAGAGCGGGTTTGTTAGATTGACTCACATGATGTGAGCAGCTGCTTGGTCCGCGAAGCTGGGAGTCATTGGACAAGAGAGGCCAAGGCCGCAGCTCCACTCTGAGGCTCATCAGTGACAGAGGCCCAAAACATCCCAGCTTCGACATGACGGGGAGCTGCTCCCACTACGTGCAGTTTCATTCTGTTGGGCGCAGCCACCGCATCCTGGCAGGTCTCCTCTTGCACAGACTGCTACCCACTGTCCCTGCACTCCGGCGACACCCTCGCAGACATATGCAAAAGTGGGGTCCCCCAAGCCTCCTGGCATCCCTCTGTCCCACAGCGGGCAAACAAATCAGCCACCACAGGCGCCGTGAGCAAGGCTGCTGGCTGTCAGCTTTGCCTCTTCCTCAGTGTGGTCTTGGCCCTGTGACGTAACCTCTGCGGCTCTGTTTTTCTCCCTGTAGCTCCGCATAGATCGCCTGAGAATTAAATACTTTAATGCATGAACACTGCTTAGAAAAATGCCTCGCAGATACAAACGATAAATATTGATTGTTATTGTTCCTTTTACTGTTAGGTCCGTATGGCACCTGGCTTTGAATCTGTGTAAGAACTCTCTCGGAAGCAGGTTTTAGTAGAATTGGACAGACTTGGAAACTTTGGCTTAGGGAGAATAAAATGCAGAAACAAGCTCAGAGCTAGTAGACGGGAGAACAGAATTCAAATGTGAATCTGTCTTAGCAACCTGTTCTCTTAGTCACTGTGCTCTGTTGCCCAGGAACTATTTGCAAATATTTCTTGACTGCATCCTATATGTCGATTGTGTATACTGTTCTATGTAGGACACGTTTCCCAACTGAAATGCAACAAGCGCCCCTCATCCCTGCCTGTCACTGAATTCTGAGTGTAAAGTTGTCATGTGCCAGTTCCTTTGTGCTGGACCTAAGTATCCATACCTAAGAGGTTTCTTTACAATAATGTCACAGCCCTGCTCACAGGTTTCTATCTCTGTGTTTCCTGGAGATTAGAGCCAACAGAATAGGGAAGAAAATAGATTCTTTCCCCAGGTGCCTTTGGTGGGCGACTGATCTCCTGTTACTGTTTCTCTTTGGTTGCTCCTCTGCTTGGCTTACAATAGCAAACAGACAAAAGGGGCGGCAGAGTGTGAGCTCAGAGACGACGGTTAAGATTTACTGGGTGGTCAGTGTAGTCTCCCTAGCTGTAAGCATTTCTGGATGTTGAACACTAGCACCACTGAATGTAGGAATAATGACCCGGTGCAGAAGCTCTTCATGCGAAGGCAGAAGTACCAGGTTTCAGTGAGCTTTGGAGTTCTCAGGGGACCTGGACCGATGCTGCAGGATGGAGCTATTTTCATACATGACCATGCAGACCTGGGGCAGGATCCAATTTAGAAGAGAAGCAGATGGTTACTCAAATACGGAGCTTTTACTCTCCTGACTGTAAAGTGCATCTTTGTAATATAGGGGTGGTTTCCTAGACAGCGTTCCAGAGTTAACCTGTTAACAGATCCCCCAAAGAGTTAAATGCTAGTGAATCCATTTTATCTAAAGATGTATTCTAAGCATTGAAATGAGAAGAAATGTAGAGAAGTCATTTTGTAGACATTATGATAAGTGTTTTGGAGTAGAAAAAACATCTGGACTTTGAGTGTAGGGTAACTATTTTAGGTATTTCTTTTTGGGTTTTAATCTGTGGCTACGCACTTAAGGAAGAAAGGAACTTTAGAGTTAAGCTTTGAAATTAAACATTAGAAGCCTTTTTTCCTCTTAATCCAAATTGTAACAAAATTTTACATTAAGCAGAATTTTTAAATGGTTGGAAAATGGGACTTTGGATTAAAAGAAAAAAGGAAGAAAAAGATAAGAGTATTTTGGATAGATTATGGAGACACTTGTACTTTGGTTCAGTAATACTATTTTGGTCTAATGAGAATCAAAGGTGATTCTTGATACAGGTAATTTGGGGGTTAATCTGTCAGGAAATTGGTTTGAAAGTATATTGTATGCTTTAAAGCTGCTCAATGAATAAAAGTCTCATTTTGTGGTAAGGTTTTATGTTATGTGATATGTGATGCAGACTCTGACCTCAACTGTAACTATGATGGTAATGAATGGAAATAATAGGTCCTTCAGTGAGTGAGTCTTTATTACAATCTTAGCATTTCTTACACTGTCTTCTAGGTGTTCGCGATACAGTAGTGAAGGAAGAGTTAAGTGTTCGCCCGCAAGGCTGTTACAACCTGGAGGGCAGCGGTGGAGAATGAAAACCAATCTCGGGCCTCTTGGAGGCTGCTCAGTGTTATGGGGAGAATAAAGAGGCATCAAGAGCGGGGTCGCAGGATTGCTCCAGGAAGATGAAGGTGAGCGGGAAGGCAGAGAGTCTGGTTGAGGTCAGCATGTTCGTCACATATTTTATTTGATTTTTCTTGTTGGAAATACCTTTATTTCTCAGATGCTGAAACTAAGACCCAAGGAAATGCAGTGAGCTGCCCCCAGTCTCAGGGAGAGCACCTGTGCAGCTGAGAATCAAACCCGGGTCTTGTGGACCTCGCTCTTCTGTGCAGTTCTTGCTTTCTGTCTTCACCTGAGTGTCTAGTGAGTAGGATATTTTGGCACTTTTCAATATAAAAATATATTTACATACACTGTTATTTAATATTTCTAGTAAGACTAAGAAAATAGTACCATCAGATTAATTTTAAAAAGAGAATTTAGACTTAGGAGATAAAATTTCCTAAAATTAGTATGTAAGTCGTTGCCCTCCTTCGAGGGTCAGCGTGGGGCCTTGTGACCTCAGGGAAACAGCCTCTGAAGTCAAAGCCAGTGTTTGAGCCCCAGGCCCACCACCTAGTAGTTACCTGACTTTGGGAATTTAAGCACTCTAACTTCAGCTTTTTCCCCTATAATGAAGGTAATAGTAATGCTTAACTCATTGTTAGTTCAAGTGAGTCTGTACATCTAAAGCACTTAGCTCTGTTCCTGACACATAGTCAGTGCTGCTGCACAGAAGTCTGATGTTAATGTAATCTTTGAGAGATTAAAGTAACTGTAATTAGAAGTTGTGCATTTCCATGTAATTAAGAGCTAAATGATACAGTCTTCACAACGATGGTAGTGCAAGGGCAGAGGATGTGGATGGCCTTCGCATGAGCGTGGCTTCTACCATCCAGGAAGATGGCCAGAGTTGCTGGAGGAAATCACTTCCCCCAGCTTTCCCCTTCGAGATTTCTGGTTTGCTTATCACTTGCTCCAAATCTTTAAAAACAAAGTCAATTATTCAAATTGACAAACACAAATTATGTATGTTTTGGGAACACAACATGATGTTTTGAAATTTGTATAACACTGTTGAAAAGCTAAGTTGAAATAACATATGACTTAGCCCATATACTCAGCTCAGTTTTGAGTGGAATTGTTTAAACTCTGTGTGGTCTTAGCAATTTTCAAGTACATAATGCATTGTTACAGTGTACAACAGATCTTTTGAACTATTTTCTCTTCTCCAACTGAAATTTTTGTATCCTTTGACCAGCATCTCCTAAATATTTACCCCCTACAACTTAATGACTGCTCTTGTGGCTTACTTCTATAAAGTAAGGCTTTACAAATCCCACGTATACATAAGGTCATTTGGCTTATTTCACTTAATATAATGTTATCCAGGTTCACTCACATTGCCATAAATGACAAAATTTCCTTCTTTTTAAAGGCTGAGTAGTATCATTGTGAAGGTGTACCACATTTTCTTTATCCATTTATCAACTGATTGACCCTTAAGTTGATTTTCTATCTGGCTTATTGTGAATAATGGGAATTATGATGAATATGGGAGTGCAGAGATCTCACACTAGTTTTATTTTCTTTGCATAGATAGTCAGTAGTGGGGGTGTTGGGTATATGACAATTTTATTTTTAACATTTTGAGGAACCTCTATTGGGTTTCCCTTTATGCGTGTACTAATTTACATTTATGCCATCAGTGTAAAAGGGTTGTCTTTTCTCTGTAAGCATTCCAACATTTTCTATCTTTTACTGCTTGGTAATGGCTGGTCTAACATGGTAAGGTGATATCTCATTGTTATGTTAACCACCATTGTTATGTTAAGCTTTCAAGTCCAGCCCAGGCTTCAGGCCCAATACTGCATACCATACACCTTGCGTGCCCATCTGCTGACCGAGGCTCAAGAATAGTCTTGAGGGAGGCTGGAGATTTAGCTCAGCAGCATAAGCGCCTGCCTTGTAAGCAGGCGGTTGTGAGTTCGATCCCTGGTACCGATAAAAAAAAAAAAAAAAGAATAATCTTGAGGACTCCAGCAGAAAGCCAGCCCATCAACTAAACCAGAGGGTCTGCCCTAAACGTTCTGCTAACTGGCTAAGGATTCTTCCTGCTGAATCAATCTGTAAAGACTGAAAAAAGACTGGTATTTTTAAAAAGGTAGACACCGAAGCATGGCCACAAGGATAATGAACAATCAGGGAAGCATGACACCACCAAAAAAACAAACCAAACCAAACAACCACCCCAGCAAATGCTGGCCCTAAAGAAATAGAGATTTATGAACTTTCTCAACAAGACCTTCAAATAGATCATCTTAAAGAAGCTCAAGGAACTGCAAAAGACAGTAGATAGACAGCTAAATGAAACCATGAGCACAGTATACAAACAAAATTAGAATGTCAACAAAGAGAAGCCAGAAAAGAGAATCAAACAAAAATGCTGAAGCCACAGGAAACAATGACAGAACTAAAAAATGCCATAGAGAGTAGAAACAGCAGGTTTGCTCAAACTGATGAGTCGATTAGCTTAGGGGAGATCAGTTGGAAATCATCTTGCTAGAGAACAAAAAGAAAAATGGATAAAATGGTACAGAAAGATTAAAAGATTTCATCAAGCACCAATTCTCACCCAACACCTGTGGTAGCCACATTTTTTTTTTTTTAATTTTAAAGAGGGTAAAATTGAACGCAACACAACAGAACAAAGCAGAACATAAGAAAGCAATGTAAGAGACATAAATTTCAAAGCAAGACAATCAGAGATCTTCACTATCTATCATATTGTCCATTTTCTTCCAAATAGTCGTCCATGTCTTCACATACAGAGAATTTACATGAAACAACGTAGTACAGAACTGATCTGAACAGGATGAGAAAGGCGTTTTAGGCCTTCAAGATCAGACAACAGAGAAGTCAACAATGGCTGTCACTGTGTCTCTCATTCTCTTGAAAATAGCTGTCCATACCTTCACATATGTTAAAGTTAAACAAAACAAAACAGGCTAAAATCATTCTGATCAAAGAATTAATACTATTGCTGGATTTCACGCCATGACACTACGGGATCAGCACTGGGTACTGTAGTGTCTCTTTTTCCCTCAGAGTGTCTGTTAATTTCATCATGCGTTATATGATCAGTTCTCATAAACTGTTTATGGGTTCTACACATGCATGAGTCTCAACATGTATTTCTATCCTTTCTATATTAGAATGAAAAAATAGCAAAGTAAGACAAAACAAAACATATTCCTATAAAAACATGAAACAAAAAAGTCATATAAAACCACAGTACAAGGAGTTCTACAGTGGTTACTGTGTTGCCTCTTGTTATCTTCAATAGAATTGTCTATATCATCAGGCATAGTATAATTGTATATAGCAGTACATAACAATATTAATAAAAACAAAACATTGTATACAGTGTAAAACTTCAAAATCAGGTAATAATCAAACCAGAATGGGTATCCTAGTGAATCTTGTCATCTTTAGAGTAGTTGCCTATACTCTCAGATTTGATGCTATCAATCATAACAGATTTGAATAAAATCTGTCGATACAAAACAGCGATCTAACAAACCAGATTCAACTAAGATCAGTCATAGTAAAACAGTGTAAATTATACCAGGCTTCAGATTAATAGGAAATTAAGGATGATTACCATAACTATCACAAAAATAGCGATAGTTCTCTGTGCCATCAAATCTAGTACAACTAGACAAACCGGAACAGAATATAATCCATGTAAATAGAACGGTGTGAGTAATGTGGGTTTTAAATCCTGATACACTATTAGCAATATCCTCTGCCTTCTTCTTTTAGACTGTTCCTCCCCTTTCACTCCCACAGTGTGCACTGCACATTTTGGGCGCCACCAACTCCCTCTGTTTTTAGATTGAGGGGGGCCACCTGCTATTTCCTAATTGGTTCTGAACCTTCTTCCTCCTGGACTTGATCTCAAGTTGTATCCCTTTACCTACAAAAGGCTGTCTTTCTAACCTATTTTCAAGTGCTGGTCGAGTTGCCCCTATTTCTCTCTGGTTCCCTGTCACATAGAGCATTGTTTTCTCATATTTGATTTTCGGTCCATAAACCCTCTTTTGGGTTAATTATATTCCCTATACAGAGCATCTCGGTGGACCCCACCTCCTGATCTACTCTGTCTGTGTTTCTTATTGTTAATGTACCAAGAACATCTATATTAGAGATTACAGCCAACCTCCTCTGCCTCATTTCTGCTATGCTCTTTTTCTACCATTAGTCGTCTGCTTTTCTCCTTCATTCCACTTTCTGCTCCATTCATTGAGCCTCTCTGCCACTGAATAGCCACAGTCTTAAATAGTGACTCTGATTTTTTTTTATTTTTCAAAAAAATGCTCCTCAGTAAAAGCTTGTTTCCAAGACAGTTGTGAGCCAGGTTAAGTAAGCCCGTGAGAAAGACCTTTCAGAGAAACACTAGATGTGTTTAAAGGTGCCCATTGTCTCTATTCCTCCCCTTCCACGGATTTCCAGGCTGGTAAATTTAAGCGTAATTTTGGTGTCTATTTTTTCAGGCTTCTGTAGCGCTCACGAGGGGAAGAGGGGAACAAGGCAACTTAGAACGTGACCCAGCTCTGGGTTCCTACTGAGATTCAGTATTTTTCATCTCTGCGGTCTCTTTTTATATTTCTGCAAAACTTCAGAGATCTAAAAAATCTGTTCTGGTACGTTTTTTCAATGCCTTTGTTGTTTTAATAGAAAAATAGAGCGTTGAGAGTTCTTACTCTGGTATTTCACCTACTCACTGGTACTACTGACTGACGTAACCACAATAATACTGTGGGAGTGGACAGTGGGCTTTGGGTGAATTCGCAGTGCAGCTGAGGGAGCAGGTGCGTGCATCTCAGCTGAGCGGCTCCTTGCGGTGAGCATCTGGGGTGCTGTGGAAGCAGATGCAACACCAAGTGTGGGTAAATCAAAAGCAAAACAGAAATAGATAATAGGAAACAGGGAGGTGGCTCTTCTGTAGAAGAGAAGGGGACCGGGAGAAGGAGAAAGGAGGGAAGGAAGAGGACGTGGAAAGGACCAAGATGTGCTGTGTGCACGAACCAGCTCCCCAGCAGGAACACAGCCATCATGTCCTGCAAACAGGTGCCAACCAAATAAAAGCTGAAAAGAAAAGCACTTACAAAATCTCCTGGTGGTTTAGGTCAGTGCAAAGGCCTTGGGTTCAATTTCCAATGCATCAAAAGACAAAAGCAAGCAAGCAAACAAACAAACAAACAAACAAACCAAAACCAAAACCAAACAGACAAAACAAAACAAATAAACAAAATAAAAAATAAACAAAATAAAACAAATCAGTGTGTTCTAGAAAGACACTAGAGAAATATTTTGTTAATCTTTTTTCTCGTTGTTAAGTGGCTAAATGGATGTGCTTCAATAAAGAGTCTACTGGACACCCTTAGAAAGAACTAAATTTTTTTTTGTGGATTCATTTATGAAACAAATAATTCCTGACTTTATTGAGCCATTTGAGATCAGCTCTGCATATGCTGATGACTCTTTAGGAAGTCGTTTATCCTGGGTCTGTGTGCTTGAAGTGGGGGAGCATTTGCCACAGGCCCAACATTTAGGTCCTGGCTGACCAGAGCTGTCACACTTTGTGAAAAGTAAGGAATGTGTCTGCCTTCAAGGAGAGTTCTTCCCCGTTCCCTGTGGAGGGTGCCCCTTCCCTATTCTTGTGGCAGTCTGGGCGATTCCTGGGTGACTGATGGGGAGACCTCTGTCTTGGGCTCATTATTCTGTGCTTCCATTGTTATTCTCACGCTGTGAAGGGACCCGCACACTGAACCCTTGTGTAATTACAGCAGTGAGCAGGTCATGGCCAGATGCTTTCTTCCATTGGAAGGAAACTGACTACATCTCAGATTGATCTGAAATATATTTGGAGCACAATGTAAAATGCATTGTTAGACTCTGTCAACTTCTGTCCCTCTCAGCTGGCTATGGATTAGAGATAGACTTCCAACCTTATATTAGACAGAGATTGACCCATGCCAAGTATACAGTTCAGATCCTTAATAACTTTCTTAAATACTGCAACCATCAGTATAAACCAGCTTTAGAGCTTTTTTATTAAATAAGACCCTTTATGCCCACTTAGAGTTCATCTTTTCCACCATCACCCTCAGACAATCTTTTTTTCTTTTCTTTTCTTTTTTTTTTTTTAATTCGTACCAGGGATCGAATTCATGACCGTGTGCTTGCAAGGCAGGTGCTTATGCCGATGAGCTAAATCCCCAGCCCCTCAGACAATCTTTGATACAGTTCATGATTTGTAAATTTCCTTACCTTGGAAATCACATATAAGTGGCATCATATGATGCATGTTCTTTTATGTCTCATTTCTTTCATGTTGCATGATGACCTGGAGCTCATGCATGATGTAGCACATGTTGGCCATGTACTACATTTGTTGCTAAGGAATACCTTGGTGTATGAGACTGTAGGAGTGTAGATTGTAGGGGTACACCCTGGTGTATGAGATTGTGGGGGATACAGTCTGCCTATCAGTTCCCTGGCTGATGGACATTTAAGTTGTTTCCAGTTGTTGGCTGTTAACAATAACCTTGCCGTGAAGATTGGTGTGCAAGTCTCTGTGTGGATGCTGGTACTCAACTCGGTTCCGGAACAAGCTCTCCTTCCCCAATACGATGCTGTGGAACTTTGATTGAAAACAAATTCTGGACTCTTAATTTTGCTTCTTCATTTATACGTCTTTCTGCGTGCCAAGATCACACTGTCTGGATGACTGCACATTATGCTAAGTTTTGAAAGTGAAAAGTAAAAGACTTCGGACTTTATCCTCTCTGAAACCCGTTTGGCTCTCCTGTTTTCTGTTCCCATATAGATTTTAGGATCCGGTTGTCTGATTGAAAAGGCTGGTGTAATTTTGATAAAGTTGCATTAAAATCCCATTTAATTTATGGATCAGTGTGGGAAGAACCACACTCTCACCCAGGGTGAGTCTCGCAATACACGATCCTGAAGTCTGCCTCAGCTGGTAAAGTTTTGTAGCTTTCCATGGACAAAGGTATCACTCGGTTTCATATTGACTCCACATCTTTTATTCCATTTGATGCTGTTGTGAGTGGGGTGCTGTTCTTAGATCCACTTTCAGACTGTTTACTGCTCATATTTGGAGCTCAGTAGATCTCATTTATTTTGATGCCTACCAAAGGAATTTATGTGATAACAGGGTCCTGGCTGACCTAAAGTGTTGTTATAAATTCTCAGGGTGACCGTAAACCTCTCACGGAGAAACAGTCCTATCTCACTCCTCAGAAACTCCTAAAAGAGGCTGTGTACAGAACGGGAGCTTATTACATTGTTATTAAATAAACACATGAATTTTGTAACTTTATCTTTCTATTTAAAAACAATCTATCCACGTTTGTTAGTTGCCTGGATGGAATCTCTGTCTACCCAAGGAATGTGAGTCAAGAGTTCAGCATAGAGTCTATCACATCCAAGGTCAAAGGTTTTATCATTGGTGAGAGCCAAAGGTTTATAAATTCACATTATGTATTAGCTTTGGAGTTTTTTGTGACAAATATCTGTTCTAATAAAATAAGTCCTTTTAAATTTGATAGATGGTAACGTTTAAGCAAGAATGTATATGTTCACTTAGAATGTTCTAGATCTCTTCTAAGGCATAGCCTCCGAAGTACTTCAGCACAACTCCATGGCAGAACCTACAGTGGCTGTCACATTCTTCTCCTCTCTAACATCGACAATGGGGAGGAACTTTTTAAATTTCAAAGCAGTTATTTTTTGGACGACCACAGGGGATGACCTTGTCCATCTGTTTAACTCTGAGGCCAGAAATCTTTTCCTGTCAAAGCGGAGTCTTAATCTCTGAAGTATGCATGAGGATGCTCCTTCTGTGGGCTAGAGAGGGTGCCATGGAGAGGTGGTCACTTGTGGACTGCTAACCTTGTCTGCCAGGACATGTATAAGACACATGTCAGCTTCTAGTTCCCATGTGGTCCTTGTGTCTTGTCACTTGGCCATTTGTCCTAGGATTTAATGAATATTATGAATTTTTGCATTACAGTAAATCTGAGATGAATTTGTGTGCTCTATTTGGTACTTTTGCCATGGTGTCAGGAAAATACTTGTGCTGTCACCCAAGTTATCATCAAGTGCGTTTTACTTAAGTCTGAGAGGCAGCAGTCACCTGGCCCGTTTGGGACCCAGTGCATCCCACTCTTGGTGCTTGAGGAGTCAGGGAGTGGCCTGACCAACAAAACAGACTAAGGAGTCCACTCATTAGGTCGGCTTTTAAGGTACCAGCCAATGGTACTGGGGCCCATGCCATGACTGTGAAATTGATGAAGTCACCACTGGTCCGTGGGGTCTGTGGGGTCAGAGGGAGGTGGAGCGTGTACTTCAGGTACGCATGGAGAATTCCTACACAGCAGGGCCTGAGCCACCCCTGCAGAGGGTGTCTACATGGTCTGATTGCTCTTCCTGGAGCAGCATCGTCGTTTAGGGTCAGTTATGAGTGTACACTTACACATACGTTTTTGTATTTGGTAGAACTTTTAAGTTTTTGTAATTTAAACGATACAAATGTATCAAAATGCAGCAATGAAAGCCTGATTCCCAAGGACGACCCCTAAGAAGGAGCTGCAGACATTTACTAACTAGAGGCAAAGTTGGGGACCTGTGCATAATGACATAACTGGCAATGCAGAAATCTGAGCGCGCACACCAAAGAAGCATCAGCCTGTGCCTCGGTGAGTTAGCGGTTTCCTTAAGAAGCTCTTGTGACTCACTGACCAGGGGAGTCTGCAGCCCTGGTTCACGTGGCCCTTGGAAATGACAGCACTTTGTGCGGAACAACACCTCTTCCGGGGCAGTTTTGCATTTTGTGATTCAGCATACTTGCACACCTGTGACACTATCCTGCTTGTTCATGGGCCAGCTCTTGACGAACTCTGTGGTCAGTTAGACAGTGTTGATTTTTAAAATAATACTGTGCCCTCAGAATCTTCAAATTGAAAATTATTTGTTTGATGTCATCCAACTCATAGAAGCTAAAGAGAAGCTTGGGAAGTGCATTCTGGCAGCTTTAACTTCTCTGATATTACAGGAATGCTACTGAAATCCACTGAAAACTCTCAACACTGCTGATTAAACACACTGTTTTCCATCGTAACATGCCTACATATTTTGGCCGAGCAGGGTCTGATGAAAGCAATGTTCTTACTGAGCTAAAATTCACACGGGGTGGAGTTTAGCAGTAAAGCACTTGGTTAGCACGCAAAAACCTCTGGTTCTGATCCTTTATCTAGAGAATTTTTAAAATGTTTACTTTTTATGGTAGATCAAATGAAGCTTAACTGTAATTACATAGAACTCTTACCTAAACAAATCTTAAATTTTTATTTCTTTTTTTGAGAATAAGTTAAAAATGTAGTCAGTGTAATAAATGGACATAATTCCCAAAATGTCGGCATACTTGACACTTTTAGTAAATTGCAGTGGTTGCAAAACCTTGTGACATTTAACTTTTTCCAGTGACAGAACGGAATGAATTAACTTATGATCTTAAGTGGAACATGAGGTTTAAATGGGAAATTCTGTAACTGCATATTGAAATATCGTGAATTATGAGACAAACCTTTGGATGGAGCGTGTGTTTCTGATCAGATAAGTTTATATCCACACCAGGACAGAGTGGGACCGGGGACTATGATTTTACAGATCCAAGTTTGGCAACGCATTCAAAAGAATCCCAAAGAGAGATGACTTGTTTGATGAGATTTGTCTTGTGAAAATATTTGTTAAAATGTTTTCTAAAATACTCTTTGAACTAAAAGGGCAGCACCTAGGAAAATATTTGGCTGAAATATTCACACATTTCAGTACAAAAAATATCACTGACAATATATCCTTTCTGGTAGAAATCACGCTGAGTTTCCTAAGCATCTCAGCGCCAATGGACACATTTCACTGTGCATGCTAATAACTTAAAAATATTTGGAAAGATGTAGACAACTTTATAAAAATAATGATAACACATCAGGCTTATACAGAGAAGTTCTTCAGGGAAAACCAGGACATGATTTTAGAAACAAATATTATTTAAAAAACTGGTTCAAATAAGGATAATTGGTCTGCTTTTGTTACCTGTTAATTTCACATGCTTCACAGGAGTTTTAAAAATTGTGTTTAATATCCAAAATGTATGTTCTTTTCAGTTTTTAAAAAATGTATTTTGGGGGCTAGGGATTTAGCTCAGCGGCATAAGCACCTGCCTTGCAAGCAGGCAGTCATGAGTTCGATCCCCGGTACTGATAAAAAGGAAAAAAGGCAAAAAAAAAAAAAAAAAAAAGTATTTTCAAAACATAGCATTTGCATGTTACTATTTGAGAGAATATTTAAAATTTATCCATGTAGCTCAATGATATAGCACAAAATATATTGGTCAATGGAAAATTTGTTGGTCAACAACATTTCAAAACATTAGATCATTTTAATTTGCTTTAATGCCTTGTTTTACTCAAAAAGGTTCCAGCTTCATTGATTTCTTGTCTGGATGCATATAAAGGAGGTAACAGTCAGGGACCTCCACAGGGTGATGGGAACACACGCTGGATGCTTCCCTCTCTCTGTTTTGAGACAGGACCACACTAGTTCAGGTTGGCCTTGAACTCAGGGTGGTCCTCTTGCCTCAGCCTCCCAAGTGCTGGGCTTAAGGTGCGCACCCTGCATGATGAGTGTTTAAACTTAAAAAATTAATTACAGAAAAGACGTTGCCTTTAATTTCCCTGAAATACTCTCCCATGCTTTAGATACACTTACCCCATTGTTCTTGGCTTGCTCTTTCTTCCTTCCTTCCTTCCTTCCTTCCTTCCTTCCTTCCTTCCTTCCTTCCTTCCTTCCTACAGGATTTGAACTCAGGACCGTGCGCCTGCCAGGCCGCATTTTCGCCTCCCAGCCTGTCCCTGGGCCCTGTGGCCACTTCCTGCAGCAGCTCTGGAAGTCCCCGTCATGAATGCTTTATGAGGTGTTATTAAAAAAGACACCGCGAACGCTGCCGCCCAGGACCTTCCGAGGAAAGGCAGCTCCCGGGACCCCGCACCGCGCATCCACCGAGGAAAACACGGATCTGTAGGGGGCGCGGGGAGCCGCCGTGCAGCTGCAGACGCTCATGCCTGCAGAGCGGCTTCGGGACTGGGAGGAGGACTGCAGCGAGTCCCCAAACCGGGGCAGGGGCCCAGGGGGTCAAGGCAGCGCGTCTCCCCCTGGAATAAATCTGAAAAGGTCTGCGCTTCCACCGCGTTTTCTGGCCGCGTCTGATGGGAGCACGGGGCTCTTGGCCAGGCTACGGCGCCCCCGACCCTGGAGGCACCGCTGCACCGCGCACAGGGGAGCTCTCTGGACACGCCTTCCCTCCTGGTCCCCCTGGCGGGCCTGTGCTTTTCAGTCTTCTGCTGTTCAGTTTTGCAGATCTACAGTGCTTAGTTGCCACGTTATCTCTTCTAAATTTGCTCATGTTTTGTCTCTTAAAAAAAAAAAAAAAAAAAAAAAAAAAAGAGTGCTTTCAAATTTTCCCCCTTAGTGACAATTTAGTGACACTTTACCTAAAGGAGATAACCTGATGTTTAGATCGATGCTCACAAATAGAACTGTATGTTTACATTTTAATGTAACTGTGTCTGATAGAGAAGCTTCTCTTATTTTTTTTCTGACCATCCTCATTTTTGGAGGATCTCTTTCTATAGGCCACTATTTGTGGAATTCATAAAGGCTGCAGTCCTATCAGGAAATTTAATTAACTGGAGTTTGTCACCCTTCTAGAACACCAGGGGACTTTATATCTACTACAGCTTTCTGCTAAAAATATTACCAGCTGGACTTATGATAAGATTCATCCGTGAAAATTAATTTCTGTTTCTGTTTATCCCACAATTAATTACCTTATCTGTAAAAATTATACCTTCCATGCTGATCACATTCAGCCACTAGTTTTATGAAAACACAAAACTAATTATAATGGCCAAACACTTGGAAGGCGTATGTCTAGTTTGTCTCCTTAATTCTTATAAATATAGCACAAATATCTCTTATAAGAGATAACAACAACTGTAACACATAAAATTAGAATTCTGCAGATAACGCATCCCAGGAAACATCCCTTCCTCCTTCAATGAGTTGATCAAAAAACATTCTTGGGACTTCTTGGATTAGTGACACTTGTCTGTTCTAACTTGAGATATTTAAGAAATGTAAGGAGGGGGTGAGTGTGGAGGTCTCATTTTTCCTGATGGTTCTGGCTATGGAAAGCTGGTGACATCCCCAGCAAAGTCCATCAGGATCCTGGAGACGCCCTGGGAGAAGACAGGCTTGAAGACCTGGAAGGGGAAACCGTCTTCCCGGGAAGTTTCTGACACCAAGGATGTGGCTGGGAAAGCTAAGAGGTTTATCTTGAGGCCGTGACGGGAGAAGGACAGAAGGCAGAGGACCGGCTGGCTTACCTTGTGCCCCAGGGCACACAGAGCCTGGGTCTCTAGGCCAAGGCCCTGGTGGCAGATCTGCTGGTCTCCTGCATCACCAGCCCCATCACAGCGTACACTAGAAATGTCGTTCTCTTTTGTCATAAAGTTTTCTTTGTGTGCGTGTATGAGTTTTAACTCAGCTGTGTGAAACCATCACCACCACAACAATCGGGACACAAATAAACCCAGTGATCTTTAAAATAGCTCCCTGGCGCTCTTTGGTGGTGAAGCAATCCTCTGGCCTCTAACCTTTCGGGGCCACCGAGCTGTGCTTCGCTTGTACAGTTCTGCTTTTTCTAAGATGTGGCGTATCTGGCTCGCATACTTTAAGCACATACTGAATGTCACAAGTTAATCCATGGGTGGGAAACCAAGTTAAGGAAACTAGTTAGTCTCATAGAGGAATACTATGGTCAGTGATGCAGGCATGCAGAGTTCTGGCACCCAGTGCCAGATCTTGTGGTCCCGTGGCCAGCTGCTTAGGAAACTGGACCTGGCCTCCCACTCTCTGATGGACAGCAGCATAATGTGCTGCCTTAGTAAACTCAGTTAAAACCACTGCTGATGGGAGGTGGCTGGAACAGCGATGTCTACTGACGAGCAGGCGGCACCTCCAGGATCCTGCGGAAACGTGAAACACTTAGGGAGACAGCTCTGTGGCGTTAATCAAAGACTTTCTGGAAGGAGGTCATTAGTTGTGATATTTATTTGCATAGAAAAACTAAATTATCTTAGGTTGTCCTAAGCACACCCAGAAAATTTAATCGGTTAATTTAAATCTGCAAAAAGGTTAATGTGGCTATAGTGATGCCGCAGCTCTGGGGACCCCGCGGCTTTGTCTGGCACTTCTCACGGGGATGCGGTTCAGGGTCCTGGCTCACGTTTCACGCTGAGCACCCCAAGCCCTCTGCCCTTCTCCTTCCTTCCCGTCTCTTTAATCCCTTCCTTTCTTCTCACTCGTCTGCTGTCTTCAGTCACAGGTTCCTGCACTGTCAGCTCGAGGACAATGGGAACCACGCATGCATTGCCCTCCGCGCTGGCCTGTGCGGGTCCTGCCGTGCGTGGGAGCCCGAGCCTTTTCACTGCAACGTGCTGCTTCCTGTGAAGGCACTGGTAGTGGCGGACTGGTTGGCACGTGCCAAGGGAGGAGGGTGACAGGAGCTCGTCAGAGAAGCCAGAATCACATAGGCATCCCGACCTCCCGGCGAGAAGCAGCACCATCAGACAAGCCCGCCCTTGTTCCAGGCCTGCCTGCTGGGGTCCTGGCCTTCCTGGGGAGTAACGAGTTCCCCACGGGGCCAGGACATCGGGGGAGGCACGGCTGGGGTCTGAGCCCAGTGACCACAGCGATGGCCTTGCAGAGCCTGGGAGCCTCTGTGCAACACAGGCACCGATTTTAAAATCCCAGTTTGAAAGCTGAACAGGCACTTAGATATTTCAGATACAGCACTGGCATCTGAACATGCCCTCTGAGTGTAATCAAGTAACAGCAGCCAGGTTTGTATCCAAGCAGAACTGTCCAGTGGCCACCAGGGACTGAAATAAGGCCAAAGGATGACCTGCGGTGGACATTCTGCAAGGGGAGGGCACCACATGGCTGTCTAGACAGAATTTAATGAACAATTATCCCATGAATGGTGAACACCGCCCCATGGGAACTGACAGGGAAAGTGATGCCACTGGGTTTCTTTCCTCAGAGTCCCAGAGTCTCTTCTGGTGCTGGGCATGTACTGGGCGGTGGAGCTGAGGGTGATCAGCAGAGTGAGGTGTTTAGTGGTCCATTGTTGGAGTGGATCCCAGGCTGTTGGGCACCCCTAAACTCAACCTCTTCTCTTTGTATGATTCCAGCCTCAGGTAATGCAGGGGCTATAGCCAGGAGCCCGGGCTCAGCAGTCAGGGGCAAGGAGACAGAAGACTGAGGAGTCCCTGCAACTGGTGGCCTTCCAGTGCAATCTCAGGCATCTGCCTGGGGGCCTAGGGTCAGGATCCTAGGGGGAGGGAGGCAAAGCAGGTGGGTGTTAGACCTCAGCGCCTGGGCTGGATTCCGCATGGAGCTCTAGACGCAGGCGGCAACTGCAGGAAGGCTAGTGATGGATCCTGAGCAGAGTTTCAAGTTTTCATCCCAGGGTATTGGAGGTGAGTAGCTTTTATATCTAAATGGATTTACAGAGCTCAACTGCGAAGCAGGGCCGGTGCTCCGGAATCCTCGCCCGGCTTACACTGTAGCCCAGGCTGCAGCAGGAAGCCCAGATTAGAGAGCCATGATGCCTGCCAAGGTGGCCGGGAAGAAGGGACGTTGGCAAGAGGTCAGCCACTTCCAGTCCCCAGGGTGCAGGGTGCAGAGTGCACACGGGCAAACCTTCTCAGGCGAAGCTGAACAGCAAACAACCCCGCTGAGAGCAGCAAGACAGGCCCGGGAATGACTTTGCAATTCAGAGTTCTTTCCTGTGAAGGACTTTGGCTTATTAAACTGCTACTTACATTTCCAACATTGGGAGGTAAAAGACAGATAAAAATTATATCTTTATTACAAATTAGTCCACAGGCTGTGGCAAAACTGCCATCCGTACTCACGCGGTGATGGTGCATTCCCCAAGGGTTAGTCACAGGCTCTGAAAGAGCTCCTTCTGCAAACAGACGCAGCTCTATTGTTATGTTTTAGTCTGACTTTCTTGGAATGCTTCAGGCTTTCTTCAGCAATTAAAAAAGAAAGCATTAAAAGACATGTTGGCCTAACAATTTTGATAAAAGAAACACGAGCTAAGAGGCTCAGTGATATTATCCTACGGATATTAGTGGCTATTGTTCCTCTGAAGTGCCTATAAAAACAGCCGCTGCCCTTCCCTAAGTTGCATGACGTTGACAATAACTTTTAACTTGTGTTTCTTCAAAGTTTAAAAAAGAATCAGAAAAATATTTAATCTGTTCAGTTCCTTTTGTGTTGTGCCAAAACATATCTTAGAATTTCAGGGAGTGGACCTAGTTGAATAAAACCTAAAGATCAAAGGCAATGTTTAGAATTTGGGTAGGAAACGTACAAAGGAAATTTAAATAATACCCAAAATAAACAAGTGGGGAATTCGGGATAGGACTCCACAGCACAGGCAGCAACTTCTGAACTCCACTGGGACTTTTTGTCACCAAATGTTCAAGTCTAAATGATGTTATTTATGCTTGGGGACTGGGAGGATTAAGTGAGATCATTAAAGCTTGATCTGGAATTGTACAGAGCCACATACTTCAAGGTCAACAGGATGAGATCTGGACCTGCAGTTTCCTGGGCTCCCACAGAGCTTCAGAGCATGCAAGAATTTGGGGGGCCTTCTCTTTAGTTGCATGGGAGTGGGAGCTGTCATTCCCTACATTTCCAACATTGGGAGGTGTTGGGAGCCGCAGCCCCGAGCCCGGTCGCCTCACTTGGCGGACGTGAGGCCTGTAGTAAAGAGTGAGGCCTGAGGTAGATTACCCCTCCCATCGAATATGTTAGTTTCCTGCTTACCGCGTAAACAACCCGCTCAACAATATAGTCTGCCTGGCAACTGATGATGTTAGCCAATCAGCTTGCCTTGCTTACTTTAACATGATTGGACACTGTACCCGTATATATACCGGTGCCACCCCTGGGCGGAAGTAGAAGCCAGATAGAAGCCCGGAAGTAGAAGCCCAAAAGGAGCCGCGAAGAGCGGACCGGTAGAGGCTTTGGGGCAGACTGAAGCACAAAAGGAGCCGCGGGAAGCGGACCAAAGGAGGCTTCAGCTGGGAGAACCCAGGGCAGGCTGTACGGAGAAGGAAAATAAAAAGAAAAGGTTGTCCACTACCAGACTTTGTCGTGTGTCCTTCCTGCCGGCCGGGAGCGGACATCGACATTTGGAGGCCCGCCCGGGGACTGATCACCCCCGCGACGTGGAAGTGGACAACGCTCCAGTACAGAGCTGCGAGACAGGTGAGTTGGGGATAAGCCTGGGCTCTGGGTGGCGCGCACCTACAGGGCTTTTAGACTCCCCTCAGGCTCACGCGTAAGTGGCGGATTCCTTGGGCCTCACGCGGTGAGTAACATATTAAAAAATGGGAAACATGCTAGGTAGCGGCACTAAGAGCGAGGGTGGTTGTGGAGAAAGCTCTCAAGAGCTTACAAAAGTACGCAGGGTATCTGAGCAGGCCCAGTCAGGGAGCTCCCGAGAGGTGTCTGTCAAGGGGAACAAGGATGCTAAGGAGGAGGACGGGGCTCTAGCCTCGGAGTCGTCTGACTCCGAGGACGAGGGAAAGTTGAATGGCAGGGAGGCCAAAGAGACTAGCTGTCAGGAGCCTAAGTCGCTCCATAAGGAGTCGGGTCTGCGGAAGAGTAGAGAGCTCCTGAGTGCGCTCCGGCGCGAGAGGGAGGCAAAGCCTTCCGCCCCACCTCGGGGGCCGTTCCCGGAGGCGATTCCTCGCCACGAGGCGGCCGCCTGGGAGCCCCCCCCCCTTTCGCCAGAACAGGAAGTGATGCACGGGCCCCCACTCTCCGCCCAATCACGGCCGCTGTCTTATGCTCCGCCGCCGGCAGGTCGGTATTTTTACAGGCGGCTTTGGCAGGGGGGACGCTTGTCTCATGAGGTACATCCACCTGGGATAGATAGTGGCCCCTACGAGATATTTCCTGTACAAGTAGCTATGGGCCAGGGACGCAATGTATGGGAGCCTTTTGAGATAAAGCAGATTAGAGAACTTAAAAATGCAGTTACAACCTTTGGGCCGACTGCGCCTTACACCATTGCCATGCTGGAGAATCTGTCTTCTGGGCCCCTCACCCCCGCGGACTGGATTCAGCTGGCAAAGGCGTGTCTGCCCTCGGGCAGTTACCGGGATTGGCGAGCCTGGTATGCAGAGTTCTCTGCCGAGCAGGCTGAGAAAAACGCCAATCGAGGAAACCGGGGGTGGAACAAGGAAATGCTTATGGGAGAAGGTCGGCACGCTGATGACCAGACCCAGTTCCCCGGCGCTGTCTATGAGCAAATCAATGCCATAGGACTCCGCGCCTGGAAGCAAGTAAGTGGTGCTGGAACAGCCTCCTTGTGTCTTTCAAAAATAATTCAGGGTACCACAGAGCCATTTGTTGACTTTGTGGCCCGAATGCAAGATGCTGCCGATAAGATATTTTCTGATCCGGGAGTGGCTCGACCGCTGGTAAGGCAGCTGATTTTCGAACAGTGTACAAAGGAGTGCAAGGCAGCGATAGCTCCTCATAAGAACAAGGACCTCAATGCCTGGATTAGGATATGCAGAGAGATAGGGGGGCCGCTCTCCAACTCGGGAGTGGCTGCTCTCCTGGCCGCAGCTATACAGCAGAGGGGACCTCGCGGGTTAGAAGGGGAATGTAAGGCTAAAGGGTGTTTTGCCTGCGGGGAGCCAGGACACATTAAACGTCACTGCCCAAACAATGCAGATGCTAGGCCTCGTCCTAGGAATGAAGAACCATATGTTTGTGGGCGATGCAAGAAGGGATCACACAAAGCTGAGGAGTGTAGGTCGGTCTTTGATGCTCAGGGCAACCGTATTTGTGGACAAGATGCTAGAGAGCCAAAAAACGGCCAGAGGGGGCCCCCTTCGAAGGCGGGCCCCCGCCCCAGAGACAGGACAGCTCAGGGTGGCAGCCTTCAACAAGGGCCACCCCTGGGTCAGCAGGTGTGGACCTCAGTGTCGCCTCAGGACTTATATTAGTGCCTGATATGGGTGTTCAAGTGGTTGAAACCACTTTTAAGGGACCGTTACCCAAAAATTCCGTGGGTCTGGTGATCGGGAGATCCTCCACGGCCCTTCGGGGTCTCACAGTAGTCCCGGGGGTCATAGACTCAGACTACACAGGACATATTAAAATTATGGTTCAATCTCTTGTGGGTACTATGGTAATCAATAAAGGAGACAAGATAGCGCAGCTCTTGCTGCTCCCCAGTCTCCACAAGAGATTTCCCTCAAAGCAGAAAATTAGAGAAAGTCAAGGTTTCGGTTCCTCAGGGGAAGTCTTTGAGGGACTCCATATGACACTTGGTAAAAGGCCCATGGCACAGGGGAATGCGGCTGCTGACACTGCCACTCGCCCGTTATGGATTTTTACCTTACTAACACCAATCGAGCGAGCCCGTGCCTTCCATGATAAATTTCATGTTAATGCCAGGACACTAGCAAACCATTTCCATGTTTCTAGAGCAGATGCACGAGATATCGTGCGACTATGTGACTCCTGTGCCACATACAAACCTGCCATACCGATGGGAGTAAACCCTCGAGGTTTGATCCCTGGTGATGTTTGGCAGATGGACATCACACATATACAGGAGTTTGGGACTCTTAAATATGTTCATGTTTCCACAGACACCTGTTCTCGCGTCATATTTGCAACAGCAGAAACAGGTGAAAAAGTGTCTAATGTGATCAATCATTGCCTGGCAGCTTGGGCCGCATGGGGCAAACCAAAAATATTAAAAACTGATAATGGACCAGCCTATATAGGCAAAGCCTTCAATGAGTTCTGCAAAATGATGGAGGTTCAATTAAAACATGGTATCCCATACAATCCCCAAGGTCAAGGAATCATTGAGAGGGCTCATAGAAGCCTCAAAGAAATTTTACAAAAACAAAAAGGGGGAGTAGGCCAAGGCCTGGCCCCAAAGGCACGATTATCCATGGCACTATTCACACACAATTTTTTAAATTTAAATAATGATAATCGCTCCCCAGCTGTGGAGCACTGCAACCCTTCCCCCAACCATAAAGGGTGGGTGAAGTGGAAAGATGTCCTGACAGGACAATGGATGGGCCCGGATCCAGTGGTCAGCTGGAACCGAGGCGCGGTTTGTGTTTTCCCACAGGAACCGGGACGAGAACCACTGTGGATACCGGAGAGACTGACACGGGCAACAAAGCCCTCGACTAAAGATCAGACCTGCCCTACTGGAGATCCATCACAGACCAACCAATAAGATGAATAGAAATAGCGGTAGCCCGAAATGGACAAGAAGATCCTCAGGCATATGCATGGCTTGCTCAATTGGCCCACGACCGAGTCTAGATATGGCGGGCATCCCTCATTCTCCTCCATAAGGTGACAATACACAGCAGGGTAGGTGAGTCAATGACGGGTAAGAGCGTGCCTCCCCAGCACGACTCGACCTAAGCCAGGCCCTACCCCATCCTGCACGTAAGCCGCTGGACTGTTAGATGCTGCCCAGGTCTAAATTTCTCTCCGAGGGGATTTCTTTACGGAGAGGAAATGAGTGCAAGCTTGTGTGCATCCAGGTTCCGTCCAGTTTGTGCCTGGCCCTAGAAAAAGGACGAGGGCCTCAGGGCCTTGGCAGACCATGGGACGGCCGACCAGGGTCTAAGCCAAGGACCTACGGTGGGCCTACGCATAGGGCATAAGCCTCTGCACCCAGTCCAGGAAGGGCTACGATGCGCACATTCATAAAAAATAAAAAAGGGGGAGATGTTGGGAGCCGCAGCCCCGAGCCCGGTCGCCTCACTTGGCGGACGTGAGGCCTGTAGTAAAGAGTGAGGCCTGAGGTAGATTACCCCTCCCATCGAATATGTTAGTTTCCTGCTTACCGCGTAAACAACCCGCTCAACAATATAGTCTGCCTGGCAACTGATGATGTTAGCCAATCAGCTTGCCTTGCTTACTTTAACATGATTGGACACTGTACCCGTATATATACCGGTGCCACCCCTGGGCGGAAGTAGAAGCCAGATAGAAGCCCGGAAGTAGAAGCCCAAAAGGAGCCGCGAAGAGCGGACCGGTAGAGGCTTTGGGGCAGACTGAAGCACAAAAGGAGCCGCGGGAAGCGGACCAAAGGAGGCTTCAGCTGGGAGAACCCAGGGCAGGCTGTACGGAGAAGGAAAATAAAAAGAAAAGGTTGTCCACTACCAGACTTTGTCGTGTGTCCTTCCTGCCGGCCGGGAGCGGACATCGACAGGGAGGTAAGAGATTGTTGTGTCCACAGCCTACTCTTAGGGCATGATCTTCCTTGGCTCTCAATATCGGGGATCTATCTTTCAGGACAGACAACCATCCCCAAACTCAACCATGGACAGATTGATTTAACTAAGTTTATTAATCAGTAGATAATTATTCATCAGTAGTGAATCATCTTCCTGGACATTCAGCATAGTTGATCAGGTGTTGTTCTGGACTACAAGGTCACACTGCTAACTAAGCAGGTGGCATTTCCACCCTAGGAAAGGAGTCTCTTTTGGGCTAAATCCTCTGTGCTGACCCTGGGCTTCTGCAGCTGGACCTGCAGGGCTGTTGCTTCTCTCTGGTACAGCCCCAACACCCCTCCCCCCGCACTCCTGGGGTGGGCTTTGTGCACTGCTTTTTTTCTCTGTTGCCTTTCCATTTCTCCATCATTTTTAGGTTTCCTCTCCACTACCTGGACCTCTTTGGTCTTGCTAAGTGGCAGTTTTCCAGCTGTCTCAATTCCAGATCACAAGAGGCTGTGACCTACTCCCTGGTCCTCCCCCCCCCCCCCGTCCTGTTTCTCTGGATGTGTTTTTCCCATACCGTGCTGCATTCTCTGCATTGTGGTTTCCAACCACGCCAGATACTGGACTCAGGGTGAGCAGCTACGAATCTAGGTTCCCATTCTCTGCAATGGAGGCAGAAATGGGCGTTCCAATGCCGGCCCTTGGGTGGGGTGCAGAGGCTGGGCTGGCAGGTGGAGCAGCCATAGAAGCCAGCTGCCTGGAGAGGAGGAAGTAGATACGGCCCGAGGCCCATGGAGAAGTGAGGCTCACACCCAAGACATCCCTAAGGCTGTCCTGCCTTGTATTGCTTTGAAACACACAGAGTGTGAGACCCCTGTCGGTGGCTGAAGCAGGGGTGTGGGGCTTGATGGTGAAGGCATGAAATGGGCTGACAGATGGGCAGCCCCAGTGATTAAACTTGGGAGCAAACAGGAGGCCAGAGAAGAGGGGAAAGGAGCCCCGTCCTGTGTGAAGATGCAGGGTCAGGCTGGGCAAGGACAAATGGAATACTGTAGGCCCAAAATGACTCTCTTCTGAGTGAACCAGAGTGTTGTTCTGGTTATCCAAAAAAGCAATGATTCAGCAGCCCAGCGGCCAGTCCTGAGCCCTTGAGAGCACGAAACAACAGGACTTTGTGTGTACTTCTCATCAGAAGTGAGGCTTTTCCGAGTGATGTTCAACCTAGATGTAGTTCATATCATGCATCCATCAAAGTCATAAAAGTTCTTCCTGAGGAGAAAATATTTAGCAAGAACAGCTGTTGTGGAAATATTTTAGGTAGATCTGTGAACACCTTTTATAAGAGAGCTACTTCTGGGATTACTGATATCTGTATGTGGTACATTAACTGATGGTCAGCTTGGAACCCAGCTGGACCGCTTCAGCATCATGCTGGGTGTGGAAGGCCCACCTGAGCATCGATGCTGACAGCGAGCAAAGAGCTGGGGGGTGGGGGAAGCTGGTGAGCTGTTGGTTCTCCTGGAGAAGCTTGTGATGCTGGTTTTCCTGATATGAACTTGGTTGTTCTCATTATTGGAGGAGCCCAGGTCCTCGCTGTTGCTGAGGATGGCTGTGGTTCACTTCGGTGGAGCTCTGATCTGTATCTTGAGTGTCACTTCCTGGCTCCAGTGCAGATCCCTCAGATCTGCTGGTGGGTGCAGATCGATCCTTCATCCCTCTGGCACACTTTCTAGCTTTCACTGCTGACACTGGGGCCTTCCTAGTGCAGATCCTTGGTACAAACTTGCAAGAGACATGGTCGTGGGCTCTAGGGTTCCAGCTGGACTCATGGAGGACACTGTGGTGGGATTCAGACCCTCAGCTGGATTCTTTGGATCTCCAGAGCCCAGGCAGATATCTTGCACTCTTTTGCTTTTGACTCTTTTTTTTTTTTTTTTTTTTTTTTTTTTTTTTGTCTTTTTTGTTTTTACAGGTACCGGAGATCGAACTCACAACTGCCTGCTTTTAAGGCAGGCGCTTATGCCACTGAGCTAAATCCCCAGCCCCTTGCTTTTGACTCTTTGAGTGCATATTATAAAAATAATGCTATAAATTATGTGTCCTCTCTTAAATCTTTTCCCATGTAAACCCTGACTACAGCACCTTACAGATTGTTTTCTTCCAAAGATGACTTCCACAACAGACCCTCTCTTTCATGGCGATTTCAGGCTGTGCAACTGCCAACTCTCTCTCAGCTGGTAGGTTCCATGCCTTTCCCTCTGAGCTGTGAAGCTTTTGTGCATGATGTGTCTAATGCATTGCTGACAAGTGAGGCTTCTGCATCGTTGGAGCCAGGGCATACCTTGCACACTGCGCTCCTGGGGTGGCCAAAGCCAGGAATCAGCCCTCTAGCTGGGAGGAGCCTCAGGAAGTTTGGACCAGCGGCTGCCACCAAGCTTCTGCCTCTCCATCTGTAGTCACCAAACACTAAGTGTGTGCGTGGCTGTCAGCCCAGTCAGCTCCAGTGAGGGTAGCCCAAATCTACTTGTGAACACCCACTGGCCCAAGAAGTGGATATAAGATGCTTCACAGTTCATATTTCTAGGCAAAACACATGGCTTTTGAGATTTTAAGCTTCTGAATTTAGAGTGATTGTTTTTTTAGTAGGTTATGGGAACAAGCCACAGACAGAAACAAACAAACAGAAATTTGCATCCTGTAAATATCACCTTGATAGAGACATTTCATCCAGGGAAATCCTCCTGCTCCTGTCTCATTTTCCTCTCTGGTTTTGCCAAGGGAGGAGGAAACCCAGCAAATGCGTAAAACATTTTTCCATATTTGACTAAAGTTGGCTTCAAAGTTTAAAAACATTATTAGCTCCTCCCTGGTAAGCAGTGGTGGGGTGGCAGACTGCAGCCCTTCCAGGGGGAGAATCACCAGCAGCTCCTGAGATCCCCGCCATGTTGGAACTTAGGACGCTATGAAACCAAGCAACCAGCCTGCCTCCTTGCTAAGCAACAGTGAAGCTACTGGTGCACGGCCTACAGTCAAACATCCCACTTCCCCTACCCCCCTTCTCCTGTGCCCACCATTAGCAAATGGGAACCAGAAATCTGAGCGTCTCCTGGGAGGTTGGCCATAGCAAATAAGGGAGACTTCCTTCTACTGTCTCTTTGAAGGCAAATATTTTTATTACTGTTTTGCTCTATTCTGATTAATGGTACTGCTCTATTCAATATTCTGTTTTGATAAGTTCCATAATGTTCTGTATTTCATCTCATTTTGATATATGTGATTGAAAGAATGACTGTTATAAAGATAATGAAATATACAGTGATACCTATTACTGTTATCCCAGTAACCTGCTGTGAAGTTCTGTATCAATTTCACTGTACGATCTTAGTTGGCTTTATTCTGTCTTGTTCTGTGTATTTTACCATTTTCAAAATAAAATTAAAAAATATTATTAGCAATAAATGTAGGCTTCTAATGCAAAATTTACTTTGTGAATTATTACTAAATTTTAAGTGTTTATATTTTCTTCTGAAGATTATTAAGCATTGTGCATCAAAGATTAGACCAAGCCTTAGGTAGAACTGTGCATGTGTAGTAAGTAAACGTCATTCCGAAATGCTAACTTTCCCCCCCAGAAATACAATTTGCTAATGTAGAAGTGTCAGAGCAAAGTGACAGTTAGAAATGACAGTTTATGATTCAATCCGGAAGTCTTTGAAAAGCTTAATTACTCATTCAAAGAAATCTCTAGTTTTCTGGAAATGTCTTCTGTATCAAGAAAAGTGAACATTTCATCATAACATCTTAAATTAAAAAAGGGAATCACATAACATTTATACTTGTGTCTAGTTAAATATCTAAACCTTCAATGATAGTGCATTGATTTGCCAGGAAAACTTAAAAAATCTTGAGAAATACTAATAAGTCTGGCTTAAAATACTCCTGGAGTGACTCAGTATTGTGCATTTGAGAAATTCCTTTTTAGAAATCAAAAGGATTATTTAGCTCAGTTTGACTAAAATGGCAACTGAAAATGACTGCGAGCTTCTAAAAAGAGGCATGGAAAAGAAACGACTCCGGAGAAAGATCATTAGCTGTGCTGTGCGCTGCGTGTGTGTGAAACACACGAGCTGTGGTTCTCACAGGGTGTGGAAGAAGTGTGTGTTGGGGGGACCCCCACACACTCGCTGCTCCCACGGAGAGGAAGCATTTCCCACACAGCCTCCCGGTCACTTCCCGAGCTCCGGGGTGGGAACCTCAGGGTGAGGCTGGCCAGGCACGGGGTGAGGGGGGGACACTCAGAGACAGAATAAGGAAAGGGGCTACCAATGGGCTTTGACCGACTACTTTTGTGTGGACGTGATGGCTCTATAGTGAGGGTTTAGGTGAAGAGCTCAAGGAAAGTAGTGACACAGAGAAAAGAGCATAAATCTGAGAGGAGAAAAATGGTGGGAGCTGCTTAGCTTACAAAATACTGTTTTGCATCTGATCATGAGTTGTTAGGGCTTCAAGATCTGATTCCGTGAAGGATAGGTGATGTTGTTATGTTACAAAGGCGCTCGATGCAATTTCTACACATTTTAAAAAGCTGCCTTATGCAATTTAAAGATGATAAAAAAATGAGTGATTTTCCTTTGAAGTAGAAAATGTTAGTTTGGAGCATAATAAATAATACTTTAGGTGCTGCTAGTTTATTCTTGGTAATGTTCTTTTTATATTAGCAATTTCACTGGGTTTTGTGATAGAAATGCTATTAACATGTAAAAACTTCTCTGAGCTGCATCTGAAAAGACAGATTGCTCCTTGAGTGCTACTGTGATGCCATTTGCTTCTGGACCTCCTCACTAACCCCTGACCTTAGGTCTTCTGGGTTTCTCTCTCCCCCTCAAAGGGCTTGGCCCCCCATCTCTCTTTCTCCCTCTTCAGTCTGCACCCTTATCCCCAAGGCTGGCTGAGGACCCCCCGAGCTGCTGGGTGAACACCTCAGGTTATTGTGCAAACACCTAGTTCCTCTCCATTGTCTTCTGGTATGAAAAGCTGAGTCCCTGTGAACCGTGCTCGCTTTGATTTCTGGTGTAACTTTGCATTCAAGTCAAGACGGAAGTTCATAAATTCCTTTCCCAGCCAGGACAAAGACTACTCCAGATGCTTCCACAAATAACAGTAAGCTTTAGGGGTCTCCTGGATGCCTACTTTCCATCTGCAGGTGCTTTAAGACAGTGCTTGGAGCAGGGACTCTGGGAGGATTCTTGCACTTCGCCACCCATCAATATTTCAGTCTTCTGGAAGCCTGGCCCCTCCCGAAGTCCGGAGTCCTGAAATGTCGGGACATTCTCCCTCCTGAAGGAACAGCTCCTCGTGTGTGCAAAAGGTCTCCCTTCAACTCACTTGCTGTGTCCTCCTTAGCATTAAAAAATAAACAGAAGCGACACATCCTTAAAATAACCATCTGAACTCCAGCCACCTGTGCCTCGCTGCAGCTCTCTAAATGAATGAACTGTCAAACATCACACAGAGGTGGGAATTAAAACTGCTGAACTCAGGCATTAGAGACGATAGACTGCTTCTTCAGGGCCACCTGTCTGCCCGGGATCACACAGCTGTGGTGACACCAGTGTATTAAAACATTCCCTGTGCATAGCGCGGGCTCCATGCTACATTACTTAACCTCCGGGAGGCTACAGACCTCCAAGCCATCATCCAATTAAAGCCCACACTCTTCCAGTGAGCTACTGCCTTAAAAGAAAAACCTGCACAACGGGGAATTCACCAGCAAGACACGTCGCATTGGCACGATGAACGAACAGAGATTAATGGTGCATTTTGTGGGACTGTGAGCATTTTTAATGAAGTAGCACTTAGTTCAATGCAGTGTTTACTTATTAGCTGCTTAACAGCTCTAATATTGGTTTTCAAAGTGCCTGTTTACCTTGCAGTAAAAGAGACATTGATGTCCTGCTTCACTTCCTGCAGAGCAGGATTCTAATAAACCTTAGCTGCAACTGGTGGCGGTTAACAAGGTATTCTTTGCAAACTTCTCTCGCATGGGTGGTAGGCTTAGAGTCAGTAGTGACCAGAGAGGTCAAAGCCCTTCTTTTTGCTGGAATCCCCCCAGAATGTGGAGGGTGTCTCATCTAATTGTCTTTTCCCTTTCTCCGATGATCTCGTGTCTGCATCAGACCTATATTCTAGGTGAAGGTGCGTGGGGTGGTTATGATCCATCGTGTCACCTCGATTGCTGTGGGAACCACCCAGGGCAGGAGTGCAGCACTCTCCTGAGGGTGTCTGGGCAAGTGGTGGACCTGTGGGGACTCTATCTGGGTCCTTGTCTCTTCCTTCCTGCACTGTCCCCCTGGTGTGCTTCCCTGCCACTGTATACTAACAAACCTTTCCTCCCCATGCCTTCCACCATAACGTTTCTGTCTTGAGGCCAACTGGTCACGAACCAGACCCCCTGAAGCTGTAAGCCAAGTTACACCTCTTCTCTCCTTTAAATTGTGGGTGTTGGGTACCATCTCCAGCAACAGCAAAATGACCAAATGACCACTACAGTTCTACACACAAAATCAGGGCCTGCCCTCCTTGCAGGGTCCTTTTGGGGTGGCTCTTCAAGATACTCTGCACAGATTTCACTCTTGGGAATCTTCTTACCTTTTCATGGAAGTGTGGCTAGGTTTTTTATTTCCCTCTGAGGGTCTGAGAGAAACCTCTGTTTTGTTTGTTTTTGGGCAATCTGGCTTGGTGAGGAGAGGTTTCTCCTCTCTGTGTGTCTCCCTTGCCCTAGTCTTTCAGGGCCACTTGGTTGACTTGATTGGGTTTTGAGCTTTTTTTATTTTTTATTTTTTTGATCTAATTCACAATGCTTGTTAAAAGGACACTCTTTTAGTCCCTAGGGAAAGTCTCCTGAGCTTACTAGAAGCTTGATTTAGAATCTGATTAAACAGAAAAGGAAGCTGTTGCTTATTGTATTAACTCTCTGTCTGTGCCTGACAGGTATTGTGGGTTCCTGAGCTTACTGGTCCCACATTATGATTTACACTCTGTCCGCATCACTGCACAGCCTTCCTTCCCTCTTAGAAGATCTCGGTCTCTTCCCACCTGGCAGCTCTCACTCTCTCCAACACGTGCAGCCCAGCAGGAGGCGTCCAGCCCTCTTTCGATATTTATGCTATGTTGGTCTTCTCAGATGCTACCACAAAGCCCTGTGGACCACAAGGCATCACTAAGAAACTCTTATTTTTCCACCATTCTGGAGGCTCACGTCTCAGACCAAGGGTCACCTGGGCAGTGTTCTTGGACCAGGTGGTCTTTCTGGTTTGCAGATGGCATCTTCTCACATGAGCCTTTCCATGAAGTACTCATGAAGTCAGGGAGTGACATAGCTCAAGGTCTCTGATGACTCTCCCTATGAGGACACTAACCTTATAGGATCGGAGCCCCACCCCTGAGATTTAACCTTAGCCACATTCTTAAAGGTTCCATCTCCCAGGATGGCCACTTAGGGAATGAGAGAGTCAACTACTGAATTTAGAGGACCTCAAATGTTTGGCTCACAATACATTCTGTTTAGATTTTTTATAGAAGAACTGAGAACATCTGTAAATTTTGCAGTGTGGACTTGTTTACACTTTACTTTTTGTTGGTAAGGTTTTTTTTTTTTGGTACTGGGGATCGAACTCACGACTTCATGCTTGCAAGGCTGGCACTTACACCACTGAGCTAAATCCCCAGCCCCTGTAAGTTTGTATTTTTTAAAAACTCATGTTTTTTGACAGACCAGATACAGTATATATAGATACGAGCCATTTACACTCCAGTTTCTATTTAACTTTTAATTGAAAAAAATATTTCCAAGCTACTCTAAAGTACTAAAGGGCTCTTCTGTTTGTGAGCTTTGTGAGCGTATTCACAGGGAAGTCTCTAATTGGGACCACAGAGGCTTTTGGCTGGAAGGAGCCACAGGGATAAGGAGAGTGTGCCCAGGCCGCTCCGGGAACGGGATGGATGAGGCAGTGAGCGTCCATGGCTGGGGGACGGGCTAACATCCGTGGTCAGCAGTGCCATTCCAAATGGCATTTCTTCTTGCGTGAGAATTCAAGCCAGGATAGTCATGGCCGACCTGCCCTAGGAATTGTCGATTGCTCTTGCAGTTGGTGCTACCACCTTGCGCTGATATCCTGGCTGTGAAGTTTGGCTCAGGCCTTTGATGGGGCAGAAGGACTTTGGGTACTCTGCGTCTGCATGTTGCTCCTTCTCCTCTGGGTTTCCTGCTCAGGCAAGGCTTTCTAACCTCGTACTCTGTATGGATTCCATGAGCGGTGTCCAGGCCTATCCGTTCCTCTACAGGGAAAACAATGGCATGTCCCTGAGTGTCAGTGGTCCCCCTGGTTCTGGGGACTCTGGGGGCCTCCCCCGGGATCCCCAGCATCTGTGGTCACAGAGCACCCCACACTGCGGTACAGTCACCTGGGCCTCCTTCCCA